TCAAAATACTTTTGAAATTGTGAATATTTAAGGTATGCCTTATTTGTTACAAGTGCCATATATTCTTTCTCTAATATGATTCTAGTCTTCACAAAAACAATCCTTTTTAAACATTCAATAAGAGTAACACGATCAGCCATATAGATGCCATGTTTTGCGTCCCATAACCACCTCCATGCAGCCTGCAGAAAATGAAAAACACATAACAACAAAGTTGCCTTTTCCCAAGTATGGCTTAATGCCTTTTTTTCTGCAGCACAATCATCAGTCATAATAATTTGCGGCCCAATTGTAGACCCACGTCCACCAAATGCTTCTGATGGCATTATATTCTTCAATACATTCCAAGCTCTTGTAAATGTTTGTGCTGTTTCGTCTGACGTGAGTATTACAGCAAGGGGTAAGCCACCAACTGGTGTGCTTGTTAAGATAATAGTTAATGGTGTGTTAAGGGCATCAAGACCAGCAGTTGTATCCATATACACCAGTTCACTGGCTTGTTGTAAAGTATAGCAACATTTCATTAAATCTGTTAAAATAATTAAAATAAACGGTTGTCCAGGATCAGACTCTGTTGGAGCAACATAAGGTTGCATCCAGGCACTTCCTTTTTTGCTATCATTAAACTTTGTAACCTCTTCAGCCAGACGATTAAACATCTCTTTTCTATTCTTCGCACCAACAGACTTATCAAAAAACATTTGATGAAGGTAGTAAATAGCTTGTATGTTTGGACAAATCGCCCTATCTGCTAAAACCTCCTCATCATTTTCGTACTTTAACTGCATCTCCTCTAGGTAAGTATGATATGCTGTTGCAGGACTATGTCCGATATGGAAAAGCTCAAAGAATGTTTCTTTTGTTTTACTAGATATAGAACGAAAGCTCAAAACATGGCTTGATACGAGAGGGTGATTATGGTGAAATAACAAAATCACTATACATGGATGAGTATCAAATTTGTTTTGTAATTGTATATTGAGTGTCACTGGACAATTTGTATCTCACTTACACGTACCAATTGCTTTTTTTTCATATTCAGTTTCAATATTTAAATCATTTTTTTCTCCCTGTTTCAGTTTTACTATATGACTATGTATGCAATGGAAGCGTTTAGAAAGAAGAAGACGTACATTTTTAATAATTCGTCCCTGAGATTCTTACATAGTCACTTTGTGCAAATTCATAAACTCATCAAGCCAAGTATTGGCATCATCAATTGTACAAATATTTATGCGAAATTTTGCCTTGAATGGTTCTGCATGTGCACCCAAAAAATTATAGGGCTAAACTGCTTCAAATGAATTGATAATATAATTGTAGTTTTGAGGTAAAGCATTTTGTAAAATATTAAGACATGTTTGTGTGATATTAAGATTATACGACGTTTCAATATTGAAAGTATTTGTTTTATTCGTGTTTAATATTAAGTCTAGCTCCATTTTTTACAAGAAAATTTTAGAGAAAGACCTCTCAAACTAAGTTCCGTTTTAACATCTGTTGTGCGTGAAAAAGGTATTACTAATGAATAGTTATTTTTTTTAAAAAAATCCTTAAGTATGGTAAAAAAAAAATTTATGATGTAATTATAAGTTAAGTATAATATGTATGATATTGCATAATGTTTCAAAAAAATGTAGTACTTATGATTTAATACGAGTTTTTAGTTGCTTTTTTTGGCCAATCAACATCCTATCTAAAGTAACAAAAAATTCAGATATGTCAATTCAGGTAATCAATATGCAAACTCATTACATCATTCTATGGGATCTTATAAGGTTTGAAATTTAATTGATATTAAAAGTAAGATAAAACGTTTAATATTTATATGTAGTAAGTTTATATACGATTAATAACAATTTTAAAGTTTATGAATTAAAAGTGCGATAACGAATGAATATACAATGGTGTTGAAAATAAACGTAATAGAAGTTGTATAAATTGCGACCAATATAATACTAAAGCTTGATATCAGATATACGAACAAGAGTAGACGAGTGGAAATAAAGATGTTGATAATTGTAAATATAATCGAAGGAATTTTTTTTAATAGATTAGATTGTATATTATAATCTTTACTATTATTAAGAAATACAGAATAACTAATACACATTATTTTTTCAATTGACAGGTAAATTTTTATGAATATTTAGATTTTTATTAATATTAAGGCAAATATTCTATTTTATAAATAAATTCTTGTTTGGACTAACTTCCGTTTATTCATTATACCTTTACACTATTATTGTGATAAAATCGCTTCATAAAATATCATATTGCCAAATTATAATGTAACAATGCTGCAATACAAAATACTATACTACTATTAAGCCGTAACACTATAATTTATAGACCAGAGTGACTTTAAGAATGTTATACCAATTACAATTATTAACTGAATATAAATGAAAATATTTTTAGCTCTCTAGGACTTCAGAAGTTTATTCCGCTTTAATAAATATTTTTATTGATCTTTTTTATTGAATATTAAATAAAATTACTGCAGTTAGATAGCTTACAATTTACTTTATATAATTCCTTAATCTCTATATCATGTTTATGCAATAGAATCTTACAAGACACTAACTTTATGGCTTAGTGTGCTCAGGACTTTTTGCCAAAAGTGCATTATCTGAGAATTATATTATTTGGAAATTCATTATTTTTTTTTTTGACTTTAACTGATAATTAATATAAAGTCTAATATGATATGTATACTGTATTTGAATATTCCTAAAACATATGTTACACGGATTGTCATATGCATAAGTTCAATGAATTTCATATAATCTTCATCATGTGATTATAAACTGAGTACAGATTTTATTTTTGCTTTTTTCCTGTGATGATCGATCTGCAGAACAGAGTAAACACAAATTCTCCAAAAATTCTAAAAATTTTTTTAAAAATTTTTCTAAAAATTTCAATATTTCTAAATATTATGAACTCTGGTTGTTAAAGAGCAAAACTGTTCTAAGTAACTGTAGTTAAATTTTCTTGCTCTATCTTTTTTCCTAAGGCTAATTTAGTTGTTAGTTTAGTACTATAGTGACTTTTTTACAGAGTTTCTTTAGCTCTGAATTTGGGCAAAGTAATTATCGGAAAGAGTATATAATATTAATATATTAATTTGTATTATATTTTTATATTATATAATTTAATAGCCTTTGCTATATAAACTTAAATATTTATTAATAAATAATAATGCTAAAAGAAAAAAGAAAGAGTTATACTGCTACCTTTAAGCTTGATATTATTAATAAGCAAACTAGTAACTGTGCTGCAGTATATAAATATAATATTGATCATATAATAGTTAAATGCTAGTATAAAAAGAAAAAAAAATTTGAAGTAGCAAAAGTTTTTAGTAAACAAGTAGAATTAGATTAAAAGTTAGCATATTCTTTTGCTAAAGATGCATTAAAGCAATTAATTAATGAATTATATGATGCATACAAGCTAAAGATAGCAAAAAGTTTGAATTGCTACTACTTTTTTTCTAAATGATTTTTTTATTTAAAACTCATTGTTATTTAATAGAAAAGACATAGAGGAATATAATAACGATTAGTTTTTCTTCATATTCAAAACATGTATAAAGTTATAAGCAATAAAAGTTATTAATTATTACTAGTTAAAGGTGCAAAATTGAAACATCATGTGATCGAAAATCTGTGACCTGATTGGTCAAATAATAAAAGTGATTGTATGCCCGATTTGTAAAAATGTCATATTGCATATAAAAAGAAGCAGATTCGCAATACTTTATTCTTGAATCATCGTAATAACAGAGTGAAGGTAACGTGAATCAATAGTTAGCTAAAAAGATAGGTAATATATAAAAAAGGCTTCTTACTGAATATGTTACTTAATAACACCATATTTCTAAGTATATCACACAACTTTACGCCAATTTAAATACTATGAACAGTAAGTTTCTCAGGTTTGAACAAACAAACCTGAATTTTTAAGTGGGCGGATATGAGGAATCATATACTGATTTTAATTAATTATTAGAAATAAGTTCAAATGATGTTATAACATTAAATAATCGTGGATTAACATATCAATTCATAAACAAATATGAATAATCTTTTATAGGCTTAAATAAATTATTAGAAGTGCAAAAACACTAAAGTGTTATGTATTTAAAAAAAAAAAAAAAACAGATCATATACCCGCGTATAACAAGTATGCCTCATCCATCTAAAAAAAAAAAAAAGTATTCAAAGCATCAGAGACCCAAAAGAAAAAAAGACAATGTTTAAGAAATGAAGTATCCAACAAAGATAGTTATCCAGATGATAACTTTGAATGTGAGTTTTTGGATTTTGGGCCTGATGTTGACAAAAGTAATCGTCCAAGTAATGATTTTGATTGCGAATTTTATGTCAATAAGGATGAAAGCTATACAACAAGTGAAAATCATAGAAATGCCTTGCTTAAGCTCATAGAGATAAGTAAAGTTTGGTTAAACAATAAGCAAAGGCCCTTAGTATATATAGGCAATTCAAGGACAACAAGATGGCGATGAGAGGTTTTTTTTAAAAAGGCTACATTGCAAATACCAACTCTTGAGACTTTTATTGGAGTAATCTGAGAAAAAATATTTGTTAATAAAGCTTCTATTATTGAGTCATTAGAGGAATAAAAATTTAAAGATATTGATGAAATTGATGAGAATGAGGAACAAAAAAAGAATTCTTTAAAAATCGCAATTGTAGACCTTCAAAAAGATATTCAACAACAAAACTCACCTGTTCTCAAACTACGCCTTCAGACTATATTTTAATATCTTAATCTACTTAATAGAAAATAGTTAAAAATAGATGCATAGATATCAAGACATGGCCTTTATGTTAAAACAATTATATTTTTTTGAGATTAGAATATCATTAGTCAAATAAAATCTTTTATCCGGTTTAACAAGTTTGAAGTATCTCTAAAGATTTTGGCAAAATTTATAAATAAAAATATTCTTTCTGATTTGTTAAATTATATTTATTAATTTTTAAAATGTGGAAATAACATTGCTTATTTATTACATATTACTATACAGATCTTGGATTTGATCCGCCCCCAACAATTCATGTGAACACAGCTTATAATTATTTGAAAGCACTTGGTTATGAATTTTCTCAAACAAAAAAGAGGATTTATGTTGATGGACATGAACGGGATGATGTTGTAGCATATTGAGTAGCATTTTTAGATAGAATGTTAGAGTTAGAAAAATTAATGCCTGTATTTGATAGTAAGAATATAGAAATAGAGATGTGGCTGGAGTTATCTCCTGGAAAAAAACTTTATATACTTGTTATATATGATAAATGTGTATTTTCTTTATATAATGGTATGCCAATGTGTTGGAAACCTAAGAATAGCAACTACTTAAAAAAAAAGGAAAAGAATAGTCTTTGCATGTTAGTGAATTTTTGACAGATATATGCAGACATTTAAAGCTAGATGTATGTTTGTTTAATATAATATTTTAAAACTTAAAAATAGGTTAATACAATGTAGCAACTTTTTTTTTATTACAAGGCAAGCTCTCCAAATTATCCCAAGAAAGCATGTGTTATTATAACTCCAGGTACTAATGGAGATGGCTAGTGAATAGCTGAAGATCTTATAGCACAAGTGTGAGATAAGGCGATTCCTATCTTTGAAGAATGGTTCCCCGGAGCAGTTGCAGTCTTCGCTTTTGATAATGCAACTAGTTATGCAACTTTTGCACCTGATACTCTTGTTGCAAAATGAATAAATAAGAGATCAAAAGGAAAACAACCTAAAATGAGGTATAACTATTTGAACACTATAGTAAGGAAACCTGTAAGTAAATATGGGGGTGAGTCAATAGAAAAGGGACAAATCATTTTTAGTAATTTTTTTTTTAATTTTTAAATTAAAATATCTCAACAACTATTTAATCAAAATTGTTAAAAATTTTTTTATTTTAATCTTGAAATTATATAGAATTAAAATAAAAAAAAATTTATTAAATTTAATAAGATAATTGCTAAGATATTTAAACTTAAAGTTAAGAAAACTTTTACTTAGAAAAAATTTGTCCCTTTTCTATTGACTCCCCCATATTTAGATTATTACGATAGCGAACTTATCATATTATATTATAATATGATAAGTTCTCTATAGTAATATCCTAAATATTCACTTACAGGTTTTTCTTTATAGCACTAATTTGAATAATATATTTTGAAACTTTAATTAAACACAATATTTGCTTTTAGATCCACAACTTTCGAATCTGGAATTACACAAGATATAGATAGTTTTTCCTTTAAATCATCTAGATGTTTTACTTTGAGAATAGCCAAAAGGACTGCAAGTTGTATTATCTAAACGTAAACTATGATAAGAAGGTCTTTATAAAAAATGCAAAAGATGCAAACCAGAGGCTACAAATTGCTGTGCTATTACAATCATGTCTAATGAACCTGACTTTTTAGCACAAAAGTGTCAGTTAGAGGAAATAATTATTGCTAAAAGGCACAAAGTAATTTTTTATCCTAAGTTTCACTGTGAACTTAATTATATAGAGAATTTTTGGGGAGCCACAAAATGATATATGCGTGCAAATTGTAATTATACTTGAAAAGGGTTACAAGACACAGTTCTGAATTCATTAGATTCTGTATCTTTGACAACTATTCAGTGCTTTTGTAGAAAAGTATTTCATTATATGGATATATATCGCAAGGGTTTAACAGGAAAAGCTGCCGAATTTGCAGTGAAAAAGTATCGTTTACATAGAAGAGTTCCAGATTCTATATTTTATAATATTGCAACCCTTAATAACTTAGGCTAAATATAATTAATAGTTCTTTTATACAATAAAATAAAGAATTAAAGACTAGTTTTTTTTTTTTTTTTTTTTTTTTTTTTTATTAATATAATATCATTGTAGAAACTTTGTTACAATAAACCTATATTAATCTAAAGATTAATGGTCTTCCTGTTACTAAAAAGACTTGGGTAAG